CCGAACTAATTTGTGGAAGCTTGCTTCAAACCCACTGCACTAATTTTTTTTTTTTTTTGTGGGGGAGCGGGTCATCTCATCATCACCACCGAACCCCGCTAGCTCGCTCCCGGTCTTCTGGCAAAAATGTTTTTCTTCTGCACCGTTACAACAACCGAATCTTGGGTTGTCGGTTTGCAATGTTATTCTTGTATAAATTTCGTAGGTGGTAGGAAAAAAAAGGGCCCTGGAACTGGAAAATCTTGTCTTTATTCGAACTTTGACTATAATTTAACGTAGTTGGTGTGCAGTAGTCAGCAAAGTGCGGAAAAATATAATTAAGGGTAGTGTTTTACAGTTAATAGTTGGTGTTCCAATCGTAGCTTAGCTAGAGCTAGCTAGCCTAGACGTACAGAAAAAGTCAAAAACTTGATCAGCTTCAGTAATTAATTAATTAAACAACTCTAATTGTGGTTGTTTGGGGTAATCTTTTGGCAGAAGAAGGAAGTGAGTTTTGTTGCAGCTGATCAAGGAGAAAGTCGTGCAGGCCATTTATAGCAAGCCCTTTTTTTTGCCGATGTGATCAAAGTTCTGCACTTAAATTGTGTCCTGTTTCTTTGATTCAATCGCTTTTGTATATTATTATTCTGTTGTTGATTAAGTGTAATATACAACATTGTTGAATCTGTAGCCTCAACAAATTTGTATAGCGAGGCAGCGAGAGGTTGGTTATATATAAAGTTCAGCTCCGCGCCTAGCTATAGTGAACAAATGATCATTGGAATTAGTTGCTTCGGTTTGAATTAATTAGTTGGTTTTATATATATCCTGCTCAAAATGGAAAATTAATTATATATCTTCTTGTGATGAACATATAATCATTGGAATTATAAGAATGAACAAAATGCTACTTACGTCGCAAAAGCTGTTCTATATGTTTCATGCCTGTACTAAAAAATAAACCAATTTAACTTTGCTTGGGATTGATGTCTGATGTCCAGGTCACAAGAACATAATTCAGAAGAAAGATTTCCATGCAGTGTTCTTCGTGCTTGAACCTAGCTAGAAAAACATAGCACTGAGATAAAGAACAAAACAACCGAAGAGAACATAAAAGTAAAGGGAGTCACATTGAGATTTTGAACGTGGTTTCTGGTTAAGGTTACACCACGTCGTGAAGATAGTACTAAATATCTCGGGAGACTCTTTTTATTTAGGTTTTCACCTATCAATCAATGAAAGATGTAACTCATATCCCAATCAATAGCCATTGCAACCTTGACGATGTAGAACCTATGCCTCTATATGCGTCAAGCCCTTTGTAATCCAAAGCCTTAGCAATCTACCACTATCTTTGCATAATTTTTTTTCAAAACACTTAATACAGAAGATGCTATATGGTGAACTCCGGGTCATGAATAAGCTCCTTATAAGGAAGTTCGTTTGACAATTAGCTTGATTGATTTGCCTATGATTGCGTTTAATTTAGACAATATTTGATTTGGGTTCGGAATTATATTTTTTTTTGTGAAAACGACCGCATCTCCATATGAGATTATATTAATATTTTATAACATTATGGTGGAAATCAGGCTGTCTGACTTTGTCATTCACTTAGACTTAGAGTATAAAGATCATGCATACATGTTGAAATTCAGCTGGTTTTAAGAGAAAAATAGTATTTCCCCTCTCCGTTATTGTCTAATTTACTGAATAAGAACGTACAGGCGTGGTTGGATCTGAACTGTTTAGTATTTGGTCTGATTCCCACTCTGTATTGCATCCTCTCGATCTGGATCATAAATCGTATATATAATCTAGTCTGGATCAGACCATACTGTTCCTCGACCCTACCTTATATACAGATATGTAAAAGTGGTAATTTCCAATCCAATCCAATCCAATTCATCCACTAAAATATCCAATTACTACGATCCATTTGATCCAAATCCAATTGGTTAGGTGGATTCATGGATATTTGGTAAGTTACATTTTAATACCTATAATTTACATTCTGATATTTAAAATTAAAATTTTTTAACATAAAATATTGAAATTTTGCATTTTGGTATTCAAAGTGTTCAAATATTATATTTTAGTATTTAAACTTTAAAAAATTTACATTATTGATCTAATGTTTATATGTCACTTGGATCCATGATCTAATCCATCAATCTATTTGATCCAATACATAATAATCCATAAATCCATGAATCCAATCCACCGATCTAAAAATTTAATCCATTTGCCACGTTTGTGAATTCCATTAACACTAGACTCTAGTGAAATATTAAGCGGAGGGGTATCAAGATTTGTTGAAAATGATAAAGTGATAAAGTATTAGGGTAGGAATTGATAAGGGAGAGCCATTCTCGGAGCAACCCAACAGCTCTCCAACAGCTCTTTCCACTTTGTTGTTTCTGTTCCTTACTTCTAGTAGGTAGTTGCTGGTGTACGTAGGAATAGAAAACTCAGTTTCAACACTTCTGTATATATATCACTAGTTATCAATGAGAATATATGTGATTCACCGTACACTTTCATGGTATCAGAGCTCTTGTAAACTCCAACGAGTCTTTCTTTTTCTCTGCCAATTTCATCTTTCTCCCCTGTTCTCATGGCTACTGAATCTACAACCTCTTCTACCTCTTCTCCCTCCTCTGCCCATGTCGCCTCCTCTGCCCCTGCTCCTATTTCTTTTCCCAGCAATCCCCAACTGTCGGTGAAGCTTACTCCGACGAATTACCTTCTGTGGCGTGCACAACTTCAACCTCTGCTCCGATGCTCCCGACTCATGGGCCACGTTGATGGCTCTATCAGTCCTCCGCCGCCATCTATTGCCGATCAGCCCAATCCTGCTTACAATCAGTGGTATGAGCGGGATCAACTGGTGCTGATGTGGATCACCCAGTCTCTCTCTGAATCGGTCATGCCGATTGTCATCAACAAATCCACCGCTCAAGAAGCCTGGGACTCTCTTGCTCGTGTCTATGCTTCCGGGTCGCCGGTGGTAATTGGACATCTTCGCCGCTCATTCAAGAAGCTTGCTCGCGGCAACGACTCTGCTCATGAGTATCTCCAACGAGCCAAGGGGCTGTTCGACCAACTCGCGGCGCTGGGAGCGCCCATCACTGAAGCAGAGTTGGTGACGGCTGTTCTGAATGGATTAGATGAAGAATTCTGCCCTTTCACCCGCAATCTGGAGGATCAGCTTCGGCCGGTTTCCTTTGAAGACCTGAGCAGCCTCTTGGTGAGCGAGGAGCTCCAGCTCCGTCGTTATCAGGCTACTGGTGGCGGCTCCTCTTCTTCTATGCAGGTCTTTTATGCAGGTGTCCCTGCTCGTGGTCGAGGTGGCGGTCGATTCCAGCGAGGCCGTGGCGGCCGCTCTGCTGGCCGTGGCTACAGGCCAGTGGCCCAACCCCATAACCCTATGTATGCTAGCAGGCCTGGGTCTGCCGGGCTTTTGGGCTCTGGTCCTGCAAGTCCAACTTGCCCATCTCATCCTATCTGTCACAATTGTGGAGGAAAGGGTCACATCCGGCCCAATTGTCCAAGCCCATCCTTTTCTCCTCAGCCCACCACTGCACCTGGCCCAGCCTCTTATTTAGCCCAATCCTCCCATCCGGCTCATTCTTCTCAACAATGGTTGCTCGATTCTGGCGCTAACCATCACCTTACCTCCGATTTGGATAATTTGGCTCATCACTCGGAATATAATGGCACCGATCAAGTGACCTTTGGTAATGGTAATTGTCTCTCTATTTCTCATTGTGGTTCTTCTCGTGCTTCTCTCTCCAATTTCTCTTATTCCCTTGATAATATTCTCCGTGTCAAAAATGCGCCTTATAATCTTCTTTCCATTAGTTCCCTCACTCGAACTAATCCTATTTCCATTGAATTTTTTGATTCTTATTTTGTTATTAAGGACCGCCGCACGAAATCTGAACTCTATCGCGGCTCCGTGGATCGTGGTCTCTATTCTCTTCCACTCTCCATCTCTCGTCCTGCGGCGCCTCATGCTCTCTCCGCTTCTCTTGATCTCTGGCATCAACGTCTTGGTCATGCCAATTTGAGAGTAGTGAAATCCTTTTTATCTCGCAATAAAATAAATTATCATGATGATTCGACTTCGCTTTGTCATGGTTGTTCTGTTAGCAAAAGTCACAAACTTCCATTTCCTACATCCACTTATCATGCTTCTGCTCCTTTGGAGCTTATTTGTAGTGATCTATGGGGTCCGGCTCCTATTCTTTCATATGACAATCAATCCTATTATATCTTGTTTTATGATCACTATAGTAAGTTTAGTTGGATTTATTTTGTTCAATATAAATCTCAACTTCCCCAAGTCTTCATTCATTTTCGTCAGCTTGTTGAGAAATTTTTTGGCCTTCCCATTAAAATGTTCCAATCCGATTGGGGCGGCGAATTCCAAACCCTACAATCCTATCTTGCGAGTAATGGCATTGTTCATCGTTCATCTTGTCCTTACACTCCTGAGCAGAATGGGTGTGCCGAACGCAAGCACCGTCATATTGTTAACAATGGCCTTGCCATGCTCCATCAAGCTCGTGTCCCCCTCAAATACTGGCCTCTCGCTTTTGATACTGTGTAACACCCTACCCTATACGTTTTGCCTAATCATATTGTTCATACAATTGCAGCGGAATTTATCTCGGGTGTTACATTAATTATCAAAATTTACCCAAATAAAATTTCGACATGAATTACTCGCGTAATAGGCTAACAGTTCTTGCAACTTATCCTGCAAAATAATTCATCACAAACATATACACTCACTGCCATATGCATTGGCCTTTCATAGCCATAGTCACAGTTTCATACTACACAACTGCATACTATACTGATACATACCATAGTCGTCACAACTTACACAGTTACACAACATATATACATATCATCAACTTTCCACACCTGTGGATATCTCACACTACATCAGAAGCTAGTATGCACATGAAAAACGTTCTCAAAACATTTTTACAAAAAGGTGTGGATCACTGGCCAAAATCCCGAGTAGTAGTCCAAGCACATAATAGTTGAAGACCATACCTCATCCTGGCTTCAACTCTAGCTCCTCTCCCACCTAACACTTATCTACTGCTGCTGTTGATGATCTGCTTACACATAGCATAAGCAGAGAAGAAGAATAAAAGAGGGTCAGCTCATAGCTGAGTGAGATAATCATAGCATCGTGAGTTCATAACAGAGCATACCCCTACCATACATCTAGCAAACAAGCCAAAACACTAGGATCAGACCTCAGGCATCCGACATCCCAATAGGCAAAAGACTCAACCACCTTGACTTATGCATATGCATCTTATCATGTTTTACTTATAGGCGCCTGGCTACTCCCATGCTAATTACTCTCCCGGGAATACGGACCAAACATCTCGTGGATGTGGTCATATCGGACCCACCACTGCCGGTGTAGTCATATCGGACCTGACACCACGATGGGTGTGGTCATATCGGACTCAACACCACTCTGGGTGTGGTCATATCTCATGATGAATCAACGGTCAACACCACATCAGGGGTGTGACATAACATATCATAACGGAGTAATAGCATGGGGAGCCCTAATTACTATGTAATTGACCATGAGACCAAATCACTCTTATTTGGTAATCTTATACATAATCCATATCTCATCTTGCTTACTCATAATTCGTTACTTGTACATGTACTTGACCTGGCCATAATTGGCTCAACATAGGTAAATCAGGAGTCGTATAATTGCACTTCCTCGGGATAAACCCTCGTGCAAGTCATCCTCCTTAAACATCATAATATCACCAGGGAATATATATTTTCCCACATATGCATCCAAATACAATAATCATGAAAAATCATACCCAATCACCTTTTCGAACCATCATAAGGCATATCAACAGTCAAGCCCACAATTTGCAACATATACGAAATCATCACCATAAACAAGGTCCATCTCGATTACGGCAAGTCAATAATATCATACAGTAGTCCATGATTCATCATATAGCACAAAAGTTCATACACCCCTAATCATGCCATTCTAGTTCACCTAGGTCAATTCTAAGCATCAATATAATTATCGTGATACGACAAACCCGGTATGCCGTGCTAATCCCTCACCAGTTCTGGTCGTTCAAACACCGGTTTAACCTTCCCGTACTAAAACGTCAATTTCACGAACGAACCCCGAATTAAAATCCGAGACCGTCCTAATATCCCCTGCAGTATCCCCGTCAATATTAGTTCTAGGCTCCGGGTCAAATTCTTGATAAAAACACATCAAACCCTGGCCGGAGCTAAATTCAGCGATCCCGGCTCCGACCTAAATAATAGTCGAAATTCAGGGATTAGAACTAGAGGATTGATTACCTCGCTGCAGGAAGCTCGTATATGAAATTTGGGCTCAATCCGGCTTCCGGATACTCCGAAACCCTAATTTGACTTATCGGGAATTCGAGAAATTCCTGAACCAAAAACTCGTTTTAAAGCTCTAAATCGATAAATCACGATGAATAGATGAATTAGGCGTTACTTACGGGATTTTTGGATCACTAGGGCTCAAGATTGGAGCTACCAAAAATTTTCCCCGGAGCTCTGCGTGCGGCTCTGCTCTGCTCTCGGTTTTTACTTCTCTCGGTTCTTTCTCGGTGGAGAAATGGAAAATGATGATGAGAATATTGGAATGAAAGTGGCCCGTCCGCTTTTATGATATATATATATATATAATTAATACGTATACTTATCCGATCGATCGATAATCCGATTTTCATCGAAATACTGCCAAAATGATCGATTTTAAATCGTGAAATTTTCTAGCGATCGAAATATGGGTTTTGCCAGAACGGGATGTTACAATTCTCCCCTCCTTAAAAGATTTCGTCCCCGAAATCTAACCTTGAGTTGATACTACGCATCCGCTCGTTCTCCTCCTGGCAGACACTATCACATATATTGTTACTACCTAACTCTTAGGTTAGGAGATCTAAAGTACATAACTAAACACATAACACCTCAAGTTCCCAATATAAGGTTTCAAAAACCTATACTGGGCTATCACAACAAAACATATCAGCAAATTCAAAACATAACTTACTAAGCAAGATTGTTAACCTGCAAAGTATGTCGCTACCAACTCAGGGTACTTCTCTCTCATACTTGCTTCAGTTTCCCATGTAGCACTCTCACTATCTTGATTTCTCCAAACCACTTTCAACATTGGGATTTCCTTCTTACGAAGATTCTTAATCTGAAAATCAACAATCTCAACTGGAACCTCCTCAAAAGTTAAATCTGAACCCAACTCGATCTCTTCTGGTTGTATAACATGGGAAGGATCCACTTTGTACCTCTTCAGCATACTAACATGAAATACATTGTGGATTTGGGATAGTTCTGGAGGCAATGCTAACTTATAAGCCACTGGTCCAATCTTCTCTGTGATTTCATATGGCCCAATATATCGAGGTGCAAGCTTTCCTTTCTTACCAAATCTCATCACCCCTTTCCATGGTGACACTTTGAGAAATACTTTCTCACCCACTTCGAAATTAACTTCACGCCTATTCGTGTCAACATAAACTTTCTGTCGATCTTGAGCCACCCTCAAACGCTCCCTGATTTCCTTAACCTTGTCAACTGTGATCTGAACTACCTCTGGCCCTGAGATTTGCCTTGCTCCTTCTACATCCCAACATAATGGTGTTCTACATTTTCTTCCATAGAGTGCTTCATATGGTGGAACACCCAAACTACTATGATACTGATTATTGTAGGCAAACTCAATAAGAGGCAAATGGTCAATCCATGATTCCTCCCATTGCATTACACATGATCGAAGTAACTCTTCCAAGGTAAGGATGGTTCGTTCACTCTGCCCATCTGTTTGAGGATGATAAGCTGAAGTAAAATGCAGTTTAGTTCCCAAGGCATCATGTAAACTTTGCCAAAACCGAGATGTGAAGCTCGGGTCTCGATCAGAGACAATAGAAATTGGCACACCATGCAATCTGACGATCTCCTTAATATATAGTTGAGACAAAGTCTCCAGTGATGGTTTCCATCTAATGGGTAAAAAGTGAGCCGATTTGGTCAGTCGGTCCACAATAACCCATACTGCATTTTTTCCCCTTGATGATGGGAGACCATATACAAAATCCATTGTGATTCTTTCCCACTTCCATTCTGGAATTGGAAGTGGTTGCAGTTTCCCTACAGGAGCTTGATGTTCTGCCTTAACTTTCTGACATACCAGACATGTGAAAACATGTTCAGCCGCTTCCTTTTTCATCCCACGCCACCAAAAATATGGTTTGATCGTGTGATACATTTTAGTTTCTCCTGGGTGCATAGCATAAGCAGAAGAATGAGCTTCATCTAGGATCTCTTTCCTCAAATTATCAACATTAGGAACGCATGCCCTTCCATTAATCTTCAACATGCCATCTACCATTTCAAATGGGCTTTCTTTTCCTTCCTCAATGTCTTGAATGATTTTTGCCAACTCTGGGTCATCCTTCTGCTTCTCACGAATCTTGTCGTGCAACAAAGGTCGAATGTTCAACCGAGCTAGTAACCCTGTTACACCATCCACTTCCAAATTAACATTCATTGCCCTCAAATCAACCAGATCATTTATATTCTTCTTCCCCTTTCTGCTTAGGGCATCAGTAACTACATTAGCTTTACCTGGATGGTAATCAATTGTACAATCATAATCTTTTAGAAATTCAATCCATCTCCTCTGGCGACTATTTAAATCCTTCTGATCCATAATATACTTCAGGCTTTTATGATCAGTGAGGATTTTAAAAGTCTCACCATACAAATAATGTCGCCAAATCTTGAGAGCAAATACCACCGCTGCCAACTCCAAATCATGAGTGGGATAATTTACTTCATGAGGACGCAATTTCCTAGAGGCATATGCAATAACTCTTCCATCTTGCATTAACACACAACCCAATCCTTGATAAGAGGCATCACTATACACCACAAACTCTCCCTGACTTGAAGGTAGTGCAAGTACTGGTGCGGTGGTCAATCTCTTCTTCAGTTCATCAAAACTCTTTTGACATGATTCATCCCAAACATACTTGGTATTCTTCCTCAACAGTTTAGTCAATGGTGCAGCAATTTTGGAAAATCCTTCTACAAACCGCCGATAGTAACCCGCCATACCAAGAAAACTTCTCAAATCTGACACATCTTTTGGTGGAGTCCAACTCACCACTGCTTCCACCTTTTTCGGATCCACCTCGACACCTCTTCCAGAAATTACATGTCCCAAAAATATTACCTCCTTCAACCAAAACTCAAATTTTGAGAATTTTGCATATAATTGTTTCTCCCTTAGAATTTGCAATACAATTCTAAGGTGATTTTTGTGCTCCTCTTCGCTTTTAGAATAGATGAGAATATCGTCTATGAACACAATCACAAACTTATCAAGATATTCATGAAAAACTCTGTTCATAAGAGCCATAAATACCGCTGGCGCATTAGTGAGTCCAAAAGGCATTACCAGGAACTCATAATGCCCATATCTTGTTCTAAAAGCTGTCTTTGAGGTTGCTCCATCTGCCACTTTCAATTGATGGTATCCAGACCTCAAATCAATCTTAGAAAAGACTGATGCACCCTACAATTGATCAAACAAATCATCTATTCTTGGAAGGGGATAACGATTTTTCACTGTCGCCTTATTCAACCTCCGGTAGTCAATGCACATTCTCATGGAGCCATCTTTCTTCTTGACAAACAAAACCGGTGCACCCCAAGGTGAGATGCTAGGTCGAATAAACCCCTTGTCTAGCAATTCTTGCAATTGTTCTTTAAGCTCCTTCAGCTCAATTGGTGCCATTCTATATGGTGCCATTGAAATTGGTGTTGTGCCAGGTACCAATTCAATATCAAACTCTACTTCCCTTTCTGGTGGAAGGCCGGGAAGTTGTTCGGGGAATACATCAGGAAACTCCCTTACCACCTCTACATCCTCAACCTTCTTATCATTTACTACAGTAACTTGAGCAAGAAAGGCTTCACAACCTTCCTTCACTAATCGAAAAGCTTCCAAGGCAGAAAGAAAACCTTGAGTCTCCTTTTTCTTAATGCCTCGGAATACAACAGGACCTTTATCTGGTGTGTTGAATAACACTTCTTTCTTTTGACAATCCACAACAGCTCCATGTGTTGCCAGAAAGTCCATTCCAAGTATGACATCAAATTCATCAAAAGGTAGCAGAATTAAATCTGCTGCTAGGAAAGCTCCTTCCACACAAATGAAGGAACTTCTAATAACTGAATCTACCTTCAAGGTATCCCCCACAGGTGTTTTAACACATAAGGTATAACCTAGCTTATCTGGAACTAAGCGTAGCATATGTGCAAACGTATATGACATGAATGAGTGAGAGGAACCAGTATCGATCAAAGCATATAATTGCTTGCCAAGGATAGAAAACATACCAGTCACAACTTCTGGTGCCACTTCTGCCTCACCTCGAGTCATTGCATAAACCCTCGGTGCTCCCTGTGCTCTGGTACCCTGCGTACCACTTCCTGATGGCTGATTTCGACCACCACCTCTACCACCCTGTGAACCACCACGACCACTCTGAAATCCACTACGGCCTCCCTGGTAACCACCTCTAGTTGGGGCTCTACTAAATTGCACTGAAGGTTCAGACTGAGTAGGTCTTCCACCTCCCCTATAAGGACAACTCCTCATGATGTGACCCGGCTGGCCGCATTGAAAGCATACTCCAGAAAACCTCCAACAATCCCCCAAAGTGTCTCTTCTGACAAACTTGACAAACTGGAGCTTGTGTGGCAGAGGAAACTGGTGCCTTGTATGATGTTCCCGACATAGATTGACTCGGTGTTCTCCCAAAACTGCTAGGACCTCTCCTGGGTGGGTAACGAGGTCCAACATAATTTACTCCAAACTTCCTCTTCTTCTCCTCTTCTTTGGCCTTGTTTTCCTCTCTACCCTCAACTTCATAGGCTTCATACTTAAGTGTTGCCTCCTTGATAGTGGCCATGCTCTCTTCATCAACCCTGTGAATCTTTTCTTTCAACCCTAGGCGCAGACCATGTAAGTATCTCATCTTCTTCTTATGCTCAGTATCCGCCAACCCATCTTCAAAGTAGAGTAGTCGAACAAACTTGATGGTGTACTCAGTAACCGTCATGTTCTCCTGCTTAAGGTTGGCGAATTCATTATTCTTTGCCCTGATAAAAGCTTCGGGAAGAAACTCTGTCTTAAAGGCCTTCAGGAATTCCTCCCAGGTGAACTGAACTCGTTCACCATTAACTCTAGAGACTGAGGACCACCAGCTCCTCGCATACCCCTTTAGGAGAAAAACAACATATTGCACTTTTTCCTCTGGGGTCGCATAAAGATACTCAAACACATCTTCCATCTCCCTCAACCACTCTACTACTACAGCATCTGGACTCACATCTC